GTCTCAAATTAATAAATAAAAACTTAGAATTGTAATAAGAACAAAAGGATCGGATGTTCTCTTTTGTAATTTGTCAAGAATCAGAGACCGACCGTATTTGCAAAATTTCCGCAATTTGAACAAATCCGAGGTTAAAATAATACGAATTTAAAAACTTGCTCACACTATTTATGGGTGCAAGATTCGTCTAAATTAATTCGTAGCTCAAGTTAAATAGACAAATATCGATCAAACAAATAAAAACAAACTCTGGCCCGTATGCTAAATAGGGCACTAGCACTACGAAGTAGCACTACGCACTACAAGCCGTAGTGCCTACTATAGTGCGACATGGAACACTACGGTTGGCATGCTAAATAGGGCACTAGCACTATGAAGTAGCACTACGCACTACAAGCCATAGTGCGGCATGGAACACTACGGTTGGTATGCTAAATAGGGCCAAAAGCATAACGCGCACTACAAAAATCTGAAGTGTCCTACACACCGCACTTCACGACGACACTACGGTATATTTAACCTTGTTTACTTCGTCAGCTATGGATCTGTTTGGCTTACAGCAAAGGCATCATCGCGTAAAAACCTCAGGAACTACATGCCATGAATATATAACTAAGTGTAACGCTTCAGTGAATAACATGTTTTTCTTATGGCTGACATTTTCCTTGGTGAAACAGATGAACAGCGTAGAAGTAGAAAATACTTTTCTAGTTTTTGATACCATGTTTTGAATTTTCTTATTTGTTTTTTTAGTTATTTTTAATTCTTCTGCAAGAACTTTCCATGCTTCTCTCTTTTGTTCGATGTCTTTGGGAAGCGTGGCCTTTGAATATATTATGTGAAAGGTGCGCAGACGCATTGCGAATTTCAGCTCACCATCACAATTTTCACTAGTACCATTATATACCATCACAATTAGACATTTTACATCAATCTTCTGCAAGGAATAGGAATTACTTGGGGAATAATTAATTATTTGAGCACTTAACTACCATTCTTCAATAGACTCATAGCGTAGTGCGGCACTATAAAGTACTCTAACAGCGAAGTAGCACTTCAAAGTCTTTCTGCATACGAACCAGTAGTGCGACACTAAGCGACACTAAACATTGTAGAGCTACTTCGAAGTGCTTAGTGTCTGTGACGTATTTAGCACACCAACAGAACACTTCGTAGTGCATAGTGCTACTTCGTAGTGCTAGTGCCCTATTTAGCATACGGGCCTCTAGCTCAAATTTTCTGGGAGCGACATTGTAAGCAATTATTTTAAACTATATAAATTTTTTTGTTCCATGATTTGTACGGAATCAAAATGTCTCTGAAGTTCTAGTCCTTCATATTCATCAATTGGAATTTTTACTTGAATGGTCTTGTAGGTTAAAGCAGAATTGTACTGGATAATTCAGACGTGAGCTATGACTAAAGTTCAAGTTCATAAAGTTCAATGACATTGGCCATGTGGCATTTCTATTATTCACAATTTAATCATTCTTAGTCTTTTAACTTCAACCTCAAGTCTTTGCGATAATTCAATTTAATTATTCCAGTTAGTAACTGCGGCTGTACAACTGAAATGGTAAAGATTGTTACCTAATCACCTAACAACATAAGCATCCGGAGAAAGCTACGAAGTTCCCTTTTTTATTGTATTGCCTAACAGCGGGACGAAGCAAGAAGAGATATAGTGACTGGGCTTACAGTTAATAACGTAATATTACTTTCCAAACAATGGAGTCTAACCTGGCATGGATTATGGTGACTGCTGCGTAGTTAAGCATTGACAAACGGTGTCGCTTAATTCCACTGGGTCTTGTTAATGAGGTCGTTAAAACTCTCGTTAAAGGGGGACACGAAATGTTCAATTATTTATTACTTGCCAATTAGAACATGTCATACAATATCCATTACGATTTTAAAACTGTAATGCGGATCATTATATCAACAGCACTAACTTGTTTGATATTCTGGTAAAGTAATTAGCAAAATTGGGCAAAATATTAATTAATTAGATTTCTAGTTGAAATATTTACTTTTTTTATTGCACTCATACCGAGTCACTTTATTCCAGTCAAATCCTAATTGTAATCATTCTCGAGCCTTCCACTTTGCGGAAAGTACCCACCTATATTTTATACATTTTAAACATCATTATTACAAACGCAGGTTCATAGTAGGTCATTTGTTATCGTAATGTTTGCACAAAACAATCCCATATATGCCAATTGTAATCGTCAGTAAGAAACAGTTAAATCTTCGGGACAAATTTCCGTATCTTTAATTTCATGACCGACGCGGATAGAGAAATCGGTTATGATAAAACAAGCCAGCTCGAGATGGTCAACAAACCTTTGAACGATATAAAGTATAACTTAATTTATATCGTGTGATTTAAATAATCATATAATAATCTAGAGTGATATAAATAACCAAAGCTTAAATTATATAAAAGAAACCATATGAATTAAATATATGCAGAGCATATTCGATGAAAAATTATATGGTATTATAAGCAAATTTATTATCAATTTTATTACACTAAGCTATACATTCGCTAATTGAGAAAATATTGTTTTAAAAATGCTGCTGGCACTTTCCTTTTAAAAAAAAGTTCTTGAAGTCAAGTAGTCATAGAAATGTAGTGCTAATTACTATTGAAGCCGTACCAAAAAAACAATAGGAAACAGGTCCTATGGGGCGTACTGAACTTCAACCCTTACAAAATTTATAGTCGCCCTAGCTTCTAGTAACCCAATTAAATAAGAAGCTGCCGCGTCTGTAAAATTTTCACTGGGCAGTGAACACAAGCGAAAAACAACAAATAAAGAAGGAAAGATCATAGGCCATCTACCAGTGACAATCCAGAGTTGTATCATCGTACAGAAGGTACAACACCAGCAGTTGTAGAAATTTGCAAGTAACTTTCTCTTTAATGCGGTAATGCAACACCATAGTCCATCCAACACCCTCGCAGCCCTCAAATTGATCCAAGGCGCGAATCCTCGGCCATTCTAGTCAATCCCTTGAAGGCTTCACTGCTCTCTATAGCACTTACTTATCTTAACTGCCATTACCTTGCAGATCCGAGAACCATCAGCTACTTCAAGTTTTAATTAAGTACTTCAAAGAGAATTAACTTGAAGGTGTCTCAGTGAATGCTCGCTCGGACGCTCCTCCATATGCTGACAAGTTGCTGTTGATGCTCGCTTCTCGAATAACTTAGGACTTTTTATCCCCGTGACACGCTCAAGTTTAACGCCGTGTGCAACTTTGGACCTAAATTCTTCAAGTTTCTATTGCTCGGTATTATTTTCACGACGGAAATAACTCATATAGAAAAACTGCGGTGCAGGATCGCTGTGATGCAGCAGGTGTCCTCCACCTGTGCTTTATAGTCTTGCTGTACATGTACAATTCTGTGGTGCAGCAGATGCGTTATAAATGCACTACAGCCTGAGATGACTAATAAACCTATCATTTTAATGTCTTAATCCAAATTAATCCATTAATTAAGCCGAATTCTAAAATCAGGAATTGGCTTTTCACGAGGTCCACTCAAAATTCCGACTCAAATGAAAGAGAAGAAGCTCGGCGAGCGCATCTGGCCAATATAAATTTAACGGTAGCGTAAAACCTAAGAGGCAGAACGCCCCTAAAATACTGAGCAAATTTTTTTGCTTGATTCCAACGACGCCCGTAACTGTTCATTGCTACAAGACAACAAAGAAATATAATTACGAGTAGTAATCAATTCCGGTTTTTGTTATGAAATGGCAATACCGGTCTTCATTGCCGGGGTTCAATGCCATTTCCACCGGAAATGGCATTGCCGGTGTTCATGAAATGGCAATAGTGGAAGAACTTTATTGCAGAGCAAACACTGAGTTTGTCGCATTAGGATCAACTAAAATGCTAACAAAATACTATGATGACAAGAAATGATATAACAACTTAGATCATACTATGACGTGGTTCAATTCATCATGCAATGTGCAGTTTATTATTTCATCGCTCAACTCGAAATTCATAGTGCGGATTCATTTGTTCACGTAGTCTGGATTTACCAGATCGCGGAACATTGCAGTAACTTGATGTTTGACAATAAAATCACTGTTTTACATCAAAACAATTTTCAATGATACTTTTGCTGTATAATTGCCGTCAAGTTTTTTTCGGCTTGGGTTCAATAAGCTATATTTTGCTTCATAGTCGAGTTTATATTTAGATATCCAGACTTCTGTTTGCAACTATTAATATATGCTGCTGCATATATTATATATGCAGCCTTAATATATATATAATTAGTTATATATAATAAGTTATTACCCATTTATATATTTATGCTGCCCTTATGAAGTCCCAGCACTATTCTCCTCCTACCGAACCAACTCAATTTCTTTTCCTCGAAGATGTAGCTATGGTTATTCTTCCCGGATGTCCAGTAATTTTTTCTTTCTTTCTTGTAGATCCAGCTCATTTTTGCCCGTATATGAAACCCTATTCATTTACCTCGCAGGTCCAGCTTTTATTTATTCTGCCCTGCAGATCCAGCTAAATTTCTTCCCCTGCGAAAAAGTATCTCTATATAATATCCTCCCTGGTCCAGCTCTATACTTATTCTTCACGCAGGTCCAGCTCAATTTACTCTTCCTGCAGGTCCAGCTCAATTTTTCTTGCCCAGGTCCAGCTCAATTTACTCTCCCCGCAGGTCCAGCTGTATTTTTCTTGCCCAGGCCCAGCTCAATTTACTCATCCCTCAGGTCCAGCTCAATTTACTCTCCCCGCAGGCCCAGCTCAATTTACTCATCCCTCAGGTCCAGCTCAATTTACTCTCCCCGCAGGTCCAGCTCAATTTACTCTCCCCGAAGGTCCAGCTCAATTTACTCTCCCCGCAGGTCCAGCTCAATTTACTCTCCCCACAGGTCCAGCTCAATTTACTCTCCCCGCAGGTCCAGCTCAATTTACTCTCCCCGCAGGTCCAGCTCAATTTACTCTCCCCGCAGGTCCAGCTGTATTTCTACAACTCAGATCTCTACAGAAACTTCACTGAAGCGTCCGACCGCGCCAACGGCGTGGCAGCCATCGCTGTTTTCTTGAAGGTAATTACCTTCATTCCAATTTATTATATGTATATATGATATAAATATTACATATGAATAAAATTATCATATATATTTGAAAAAGTATGCAAATGTTAAAAAAAATCGATGTTCTAGATGAAAAATCAGCAGTAAAATTGCAACCAACATAAAATTATCTTAGATCTATTTTCTCGGTTGATCGCTGTAATCATTCTAGCCGCAGGCAAAGGGTGCTTATTAAATTAAATTCTATCATTTTGTAATATTAAAACTGATTGCAATTAATAAAAATTTGTTTAGTTGATTGGCGCCGGAATACAAATCACTCATTGCATTGAACATAATTGTTCCTGCAGTCTTGCGGCTAATTAACAACACATCTGTCATTATTCGATGAATCTGTTTCTTCGTTGAGGTGCAATACGATTTACAATAAATTGAAAGACTGAATTCTGAGTTAGCGACCATGATTCGAAATATCCTTTAACAAATTATTTATTTTTAGTTTCCAAAAATTGTTTTCTTCTACAATTGTAAAATATTTGACTGCTGCTAAACGAAAAAAGAAAGCATTATTTATTGTCAAGGAAATGTATCTAATGCTCATTTATTTTCATTAAAGTAAGTAATTAACGACGCCCTGAGCTGGCATTAATATTATGCGCGATGCGCGATTTTAGTAAAGAATTAATAGACTGGTGAAGATAAATTCGTTCTGCCCCTTTCAAAGTAATGTTTAATATAAATTCGTCTTGCATTTTTCAATATAATATACCCCGCAGAGTGCCATGGGTCTATGGGAGGCGGTAATGTTGTTTATAAATAGGCAGCAAACATGCAATGTTGTCATTTCCAAGCAACTGCGATAGTATGGAGTTGAAATATCGACTTCTTGCAAAGAGAAAAACCTGAATAATTTTAATCAATACATGATTTACGCTTTTCATAATCAATGTTCTTGAAATAAGGATATCCGTCACAGATGCCAGTTTGGATTAACTCGTTCAAACTCATTAGTTTTCCATCGTCGTTTTTGCAGTCATTATTTTTCAAAATAAGGCTGGAAGTTTCACACGAATAAAATCGTAGATATAGTTTCCTCGTGCCTATAAAATCACATACTTATGAAGCCTCATAAATTGATTTTTTACGTAATTTAGTCATGATCTTCTAACTTAGCGTTAATTATATGAGTTATGAAGAAACGTTTTCACTTGAATTAATTTTCATTAATTATTAATCGTAGATATATTATTCATTATTAATCATAGATCAATAAAATTAATTATTGTAGATATATTGATGCCAGTTTCTTCCAACATTTCAAAAAAATAAATAAAATATACTCTCACAATAAATCTTGTGAGAGTACATTTAAATCTCCCACCAAGATCATATTTACATTGAAATCGATGAACAGAAGTAAGGTTCCATATGAATAACAAATAGCAGTCATTTATCTAATACTTAACATCAACTAACCCTTACGCACCTCATTTCCTCTCTAACATACCTCACGTAAATTAAGTTGGACAATGTTATTAATAACCTGAACATCTCTTAAGAGAATTGTAGGCAAGCAATAACGACGTGACGTTGTTTGCACAGGAAGGACGACAGTCTAATCCGTTCATCGACGCTGTGCTCGAGCATCTACCAGCCGTGCGACAAGGAGGTCAGCTTCTTGTTTAAATATTTGTTCGTAACTGAACCATTCTCTGCGACATTATGCATCATGAGCCGATATATCAAAAATAGTCGAGTTCGTTATTGCGTCAGCCAATCACTAACGATTTTTCAAGTTAGACCCACCAATAACTGACGAGAAATCGGCCCCTACGTGTATTTAGGTCGCTACATGTACTTTAGAGAGTTATGATAATATGTCCTTATGTTTGAACTATGGATATTGTCCATCCATTACTGATGGAATTTCGTTTGAATTTTACTAATGTAATTTACTATCAAATGAAACCTTGACTTGTGACAAGGGGAATTATATATATATCAGCTCTACATCACAGATTACATTACTTTAGCGATACTCTTTACTCCCACTAGGCAAAATATGAACATAAATGTAGGATAGCAATGTCAGGCTTTGGAATTAAATATGTTTTTATTTTCTCAGTGGTCATTGCACAGGTCTTGGCAATTTAAAATAGCGGTATAATTACTGATCCGTAGCTATTATGAAGAACGTTCCGTTAGGTTGTTAGTGTGAAGGAATTTCGGCAACTTTTTAAAACCAGCTGAGCACCCAAACCAAGATAGTCGTAAACGCTGTAGTATAGAATCGGGATTGGCGGTGGTAGTATTATTAATATGTCAATAATTCAGCCTAGAAATTACTGATAAAGTTAGTTGAATGGAAAAAGTTTCAGTAAAACGCTATACTTTATATCGCTAGGTCTTTTTGTAATCGGACGCATGCAATAAAAATTATCCCTGAATACACACCGTTTTACACCCGCTACGTTGTGTGATTTACTCAGACTTTCTTTCGCAACCCGCAAAATTTGTTTCCTGTTATATTTCAGAAGTTTTTCAATAAACTCAGTTTTCTATTACTGCTATTCGGTCGAATTTTCTGTTGCGATCTGATATTATTTATCCGGCTTTTGCCGGAGCCCAGCACGACATTGAGACGTTATATCTGCCGGCGCAGGTCTGATTCGACGCATAACCTTCAACGCGCTGCGTTTTGGCGATTTTTGTAGGCAATTTCCTTCACAATGGAAATTCGGAAGAGAAATCTTCTGAACGCCATGATTCAAACAAATTACTGAATTTTTCATCGCTAGAAAAAATTGCTCGGAGATGGAAATTATTCTATTTGTTTATGTAAGGAGTCGCGAGCAAACTGAATTTATGAAATTTTTAATCATTTGTGCTTATATATTGTTAGTGCATACTGTAGATTGATATTGTTCGTGCATACTGTAAACAGTTTGTACATCAAAATAAAAGTTAGAAAGTCGGACCTCAATACAAAGGTGACTAAAAATTCGAGAGTGTGAACCTCAGCAGTGATATTCTAGCTGCAGGATTTCCCTTTGACCACCGGGCAGAAAAAATATGCCTAACATATTTTCCATGCATGTCGATTTTGGCATTCTCTGATGACTGCGTTCTTGCGACTTCCCAAACCAGTTTACTTTTCCTGAAAGCTGTGTTTTTAAAAGGTTTGATAGGAGGCACGGATTTTCTGTGAAAATTCGTAGCTTGTGGACAATTTTTTTAAATTTACAGGCTGGTCTGTTTATCAAATAACTGCAAGAGACACATCAACTCAGAGTAGGATGGAGTGAGGAATTGCAGGAATGACAGGAAAAAGGACAGGAATGATGAATAGCTGCACGCTGTGCACATATCAAGTACATAGTACAGCAACCACATAGCAGCTACAGCCTGTTGATACAGCCTTTCCTTGCACAGCCTGTTTATGCATGCCTACAGAAAACAAGTCTCTTAAGTCAATATATGAAAGTTTTCAGACATGTGAGATATGCCACGCATGCACTTTGTAAATCTGTGTCTGAACCGCGGCGTGTCTGTATCACCGTGTACCTGCATGGCCAGTTTATCGACTGTTCAATTGTCTGCATGGGCAATTTATCTCGATTTTAATTTTGAATCCTCCAAAATTTTTGGATTTGTTTTTTCTAGGAACCTCTTCGTGGGTTCGAAACGCGCCACTGCGCTCGATATTCACGACGTCTCACTTCCTCACATACGACGGATCCCTCACAGAACCTCCTTGTGAGGAGACAGTGACCTGGGTGCTACTCAACAGGTCGGCTTACATCTCCTCACAACAGGTGAGTGCTCACAACTCACGCCAACATCATCAAATATGTTTTAATTTTTTTCTCTCTACAGTTCAGTTCTCAAAATATTTATTCAAGCTGGGGTTTTTATTGATCAACTGATGAATGTTCTAAGCTGAAAATTCCATCTAAAGATTGTGCTTCTCTTCTCTTCTCCTCCCCTAAAGCCACAAGGTTCAGGTTTTAAAAGGCGACCTCAAAACTCAGGAAGGCATTCTCGAAGTCAATTTCACATATCCTGCCATAAGGTAAACTCTACAACCGATTTATACTTCGTCTATGAACTAATGTCTTGGCGGGAACATTTGCATTTTTTTATCATAAGCCATATAAAATTCCACCTAATAGCATATATAACAAATCGCACGATTGCCTTCAATAAATTTAAATTAAAGTGTTCAATTGATCGCCAGGTGGCCATTTAACATTGATTAATACAGATTTGTTGCTTAACATTCTTAATTGTTGTTATGAGTACACCGTAGATTACTCATGAATTTCAGCGTGCTAAATTTGTGATTTTTACGAGACTGTTGCGGGAGATTGTGAATATTAGATTTTCAGTCATTTTGACCGACCCGATTAATTAAAAACTAGGGTATTCAAACGAAGTTAAACACGCACGACCAAATATTACGGCTGAACTTAAAAACATTTTCAAACGTCGCATAAAGGATGGCTAGGAAATATCGTAATACAATATCGTAATACGAAGTAATACATAGATTACATTAGATTTGTAATACTGTTGAATCATTTACGCCCCAAAAGGTCGAACTATTCAGACAAACTTGACCGGCATGACCAAAGAGTTTGACCGAAATTTTGGCCGAATTCTGCGATCGAGTCCCCGAACGCATTGCCAATCACGGCTAATCTTATAACGCCACCTGAAAATGACCTCAGCGTCACATACGTGCCCTGAGCACTAGTTCTCCTTCGACGTTCTTATTTCACCGCGCTGCTCCGAGCAAATTATTTCATTGCAGTAAATTGAAAATTCTGCCATTCATTTATTTCGCAACTGAGAATTTATCGAACCGTGATCATTATCTTTCGCTTAAATTCTCGTCTATTGTATAGAAACTAAAATTTTGCTGTGTTGCTTTGCTCAAGTCGCACTGTACTTGCATTACTGCAAACTGGAAATGTGCAGACAAGTCAATTTCTTCCACCGATACATGTATTTACCGAACTGAGTTAATTGATAAACCATCACCGGCATGTGCAGGATTAAGCTTAACGACCTTTTAAACGAGTTCAATTCGTGAGTATTCATAACTGAGGTGTGAAATTTTATTTTTTCTTAAATCAAATACATTATTGACTTCATCGCGGATCTGGGCAGGATACTAATGCTTACTATAAAATAGTTACGTTGTTAATATTATATTAATTCATTGTAAACCCCATCCAAGCTCAGTATTATTAGAATATAATAAAAGTTTTATTCTCTGCCTGTATATTATTTTTTTAGTTAATTCCAAAAATTAGCCTGGACTAATGGCATGACTTTATATAGATCATTCAGACATGATATTTAATCTATTATAATGTAGAGACATTCACAAATTTTTTTTCCATTTAAATTGGATTTCTGGTACTATTCTATTTAAATTGGAGAATTTACCTGATATGTAAATGCTTTTTAACCCAAGAACTTCAATATTGAACCAAATTACCAAAAAATAATTTCTTATACTCAACAGAATTTTCGAGCTCTTCATATATTTTTAGTCACCTTCGAAAGAAGGCCGACATTTTTACGAAGAAAAAGACCTCATGTGTATCATATTCAATGGATCCGTAGATGTTTTTATTAGGACTCTCCTGTACAGAAGCTTCTCGTTTTTGCCTCCCATGAATATTTTGAGAAAATTCTCAGAGCGCTAAGGCCAGGTGTGCTCGGTAATATCCATAAAGGAGCTTAGTTGAGCACATAACAAGTCTTCTCTTCTTTTTCTAGTATAAAACTTTGCCGGTAACATCATTTAATGATCATTGTTTTACGCTTTCGTGATCTCATTTCATAGACTACTTCATCAGGGCCCGAAAAAAAATAAAAAAAATTGTATTCCAATACAAAAATATTCTAGAAATTTAAAAGCGAAGAAAACACCACAAAAATTTAGCATATCTCTATTGAAAACGTTTCGGAGACCAGCTCCATCGTCAGTTCGATAAATCTAGAACACAGATAAAGGTAGAAAATTAGTTTGGAGTTAATAAAAAAAAATATGCTTCGCCAGAGTTGAAAAAAATTATTGCATGAAAGCCAGCATGGATTGGATTTGATATTTTTTCAAACAAATTGAATCCTCATGTGCGCAGACAATCATTTTACCTTTGATAGGCGAAAAATTTTGTTGTTATGGCGTGGATAAATTCTAGGAATTTCAAACCGGACACGGAAATTAAATATTTTCATATTTATCATTATTATAGAATAATTATTGTAATGTAATGTAAATCTCAGACAATCACTACATTTTGAGACTTTTTATGTCATTACATTGAAATAGTTTATAATCAACCTAAATTATTTCGATTCAATTTCTGGATTACCCAATTCAAGAGAAATTTTTCAATATTCAAACTACTGCTCAATCACGATCTCATTTATTAATGAATAAATTTATGCCAAATAAATTAAATTATATATCAGTAATAAACCTTATTCCCGTGCAGCTGCAGCAGCTGCAGAACCTACGTCGTCAGGGTCAGGGACAGACTTCCCCGACCGTGGGGAACGTCCGGCCCACTCAACCCCTGCACTCCCGGCCCGTCCGCACCAACATCCCGCCCCACCTCCTAGTGAGTAGACCGTCAACATCCCTCCCCACCTCCTAGTGAGTAGACCGTCAACATCCCTCCCCACCTCCTTGTGAGTAGACCGTCAACATCCCTCCCCACCTCCTCGTGAGTAGACCGTCGACATCCCGCCCCACCTCCTCGTGAGTAGACCGCAACGCTCACTTAAGTCGCCACTACCATTAATTTAATACTATTATTATTGCTATTATAAGTCGCCATCCTCCAAGAGAAAGGAAATATTATTATAAACTTATTCAAAAAAAAAAAAATTATGGCAAAGTTTAGACAGAGTTAAAATCTTAGTTGTCGTTTAAACCCAACAAAATGTGTTTCTGATCCATAGAAGATTATTTTAATTAGCAAGCTTGCGAGTTATGGAACACTGTTGTTGTCGGGTCGTTCGTTCCGGTTGTTTAGGGTAAACGTGGCACAGATCACAGTTCAAAACCCTACCCTACCCTACAACACTGTTGACCGCCATTAACGGTGGTGGCTTCCTTATTCAAGCCTGCATTATGCCTGGAACTCTTAGTACTCTAATTCAACTATTCCCAATACGATTACTATTTGCGTCTTTTATCACTAGTTCTTCTAATAAGGATGATGTTTAGTCACTTATTTGCGCCAGGATATAGTATTTTACGCATGGAATATGAACATAAACTTTGAATCGATGTCTTTACTTGTGAATACGTGTCATGTCAATATGTGACGGTCGTCAGGGAGATCTATGAATGCAGTCTCAGTTGCCGACTTTTATCGACTACATCGCAACTCAAGCAAAGAACTGAGGTATGCGACTCTCTTTTTTTCTTTCATGTGAACAAACCCAAAAATGAGAGCAGCCCTTTTCGCTCACATTACGCAGTCCCCGATATGAGCGTCGCATGCTCTTGCTCACGATTGCATAAGATCTCTCATGAACCGCTCACACTGTATAATTCCTACAATCTATCTACCAAATATCGTATTATGCCTTAGATGTGCACCACCATGCGGGTGAACAAGACTTTGTGTGTCAAGTTTTTTTTATATAGGAGAGATTTAATGTATTTGCAACCTCATAATAGGTTTTTAATCGTTTTATCATGTCGAGAAAATTATTCCTGTGTCATGGAAATAATTGATCAGATTTGGTACAAATTTCTCAGCTTCTCTTTGATGGTATATCATCACGTCATGTTTCGTATAGATACTTCGTCACATTCACATGCCATCTACTGTCTGGATTGTCTCAGAAATCAACCTGCCTTAGTGGCAATTTTCTCAATAAAACTGCAAGTTTTGTAGCCGCGATATCATTGGCATGGGCAGCTGCTGGCTGCTACAATGCCTTATCATATTTCCCGCGATATCGCCCGGTATTTTGTGCTATTTAGGACGATATCGTGCGCCTGCTAGCCCGCCATTCTCCGCTCGCTACGCTGCATCTTCGGATCACCATATTTTCCAGGACGTCTCCCCGCGGCCTCTTTAGCATCCGTCAAAAATTGCAGGATTGTCCTGAACATAAGGCTGAGGTTCAGTCAAAATCTGCGACTGCCGGCATAATGTGTTATTCCAACGGATCTAGATCATACCCTGAATTTGCAGCAGTGCCCTAAACCTATGGCTGATGTTCATAAGAAATGGGCGACTGACGTCGTAATTTCTTATCTAAGGACACTATACAAATACCACCCTAAGCTCACGTCTAGCCCTTTGTAGTTAGGGATACGAATGTATGTACGAGAAAATGGTAAACGAATGAAATTAGGCAATGAATAGTTTAGGCTGAAAGGATACTTTATGGAGGTTATGTCTCTTGCATAACGGTTTAACGTACGCACACGATACATGCGACATAGAGTTTCGAATTGTTTTTTGAAATTTGTGGTCATTTTGAAAGTGAAATGGAAAAAAAATCTCAACAATCCTTCTACGTTAAAAAAGTGAATTGCGAAGGAGCAAAGTTCGCGGATCAAGCGTGCATGTGTGAGGTGGTAGACTTTTATTATCTTAATGTTTCAGAGAAACACTAATGCCCAAGTTATCGATGTTAGTTTCGCTAATCCGGGTGGGACTTATGATTTTGATGTCTTAAGGAAATTCCTAAGTTATCAATGTCAATTGTGCGTAGCAAGGGTCGGATATAGGATCTTGCTGTCTTGCGGAAATGATCAAGTTATCAATAATTGTTTCTCGGATCAGGGGCTGGATATTTGGATATTTAGTATTTTTATGTCTCGGAGAAATCATCAAGTTATCGATGATAGTTCCGCGAAGCATAAGTTGAATTTAGGATTTGATGTCTAAAGGCAAGAAGAATGACGTGAAATTTGAAGCCTCAGGAGCGTTCAGTGAGTAGAGAATTCAAATTTGCCAGGTTAGTCTCTTAAGATTAAAACGTTTCCGGAGAAGAAGGGAATCTTACATTTCTACATTAAGCAAGGCAAGAAATTTATATCGTGATATTTAATGAAAGGTTGGACAATAATATTATGATATTCCCAGACTGGGATAAAATTTTAGATTTACATTTCATCTAGCTTGCTTAGAATTATAAATTGTTTAATGTTTTCTTGCTACATTACAATCTTATATTTTAATTGGAATAATGCAAAGCATTAATTTGTGTTTGCACAAAGTCAGCCACAGCATGGATTTTAGGTCCAAAAATGACCACAGTTTAAAGAAATAATAAAAAGAAATAAAAAAAATGAATTACCAAGGCAAGATAGAAGTCGGAAGTTCGGTTTCCAGAGACAAGGCGGCTACGATGCAAGCATCGATTTTCAAAGGCTTACCTCGTGGCTTTCCGTCTTTGGCTGAATTCTTTTTTTTTAAGTATAACGAAACCATACTTTAAAAATACAAATTAGTGCTGAAAATGTATACATTATGGTTTCCGTATAACCTCCAACCACAATTTTAAAAAATAGTGCCCGTTTTCAAACAAGTTAGCCTGGTATTCTTGCTAAGAAACAGAGGAAGACTTTGAATGATTGATTATTTGCATTATATTTATGATATTACATTAAGAAATTAGTTATCGTGAAATGTAGTCAAATAACAGATTGACGGGTATACTTATGAATTGCAGCTTTCAGCACAGGGAAAGATAGAAAAGAATATAAACATGTTATAAAAAAAATGCAGAAGAAATCAACGCACAACACTTAACGTTGCCCTGTCAGTTGTGAGACTTCAGTGCGTAGTGTAATGATCATCATTGAACTAGAGAATCTAAAGTTAAGATATGTCATTATAACAAATTTGTTTATTAGAAGCGTTGTAGGTGCTGAAAAAATTATCGATTGAGGGTTATCAGTGCTGATAAAAGACTTACGGCTGAAATATATAAGTCATAGAGAAAGACTCTATTATCTCGACCAAACCTCTTTGAATAAAAGTTGTCAATTTTAGCGATGAGAAGAAATGCTTCACTTGAACTTATCTGTACTAATAAAACGCTGCTTCAGCCGAGCGTTACAAGCTTTAAAACGAGGCTCTAGCCGAGAATTGCTTGCTTTAAAAGACACTGAAATGAAGCTATTTGGATTTTTTTCGAGCAACCGGTCTAAAAACTTGCCCAGTTGAGATGTACAATGAGATTTGACTTCCTTAGAGTTCGGTCGTTCAGGATCAGCTGCATGTCTAATTTTCCCGGGAATGCGGCTGTCCAGCCTACGAGTTTTACTTTTCAGTTCGCAAGCTGAACGGAAAACCTCTGTTTACCCCTGAATGTTATGAATATAACATGGAATATTATGAATATAATTATTATTATTAATATTATTAATTTTTATTATTAATATTATTAATATTATGAATATAACAGGGTTTTACCCCTGTTATATTCATAATATTCTAGTTGACTTATTTTGTGATTCTAATGATTTCATTCTTGTGGTTTATTCTACTGATTTTTTCATTAAAAAATATTCCAATAGTCCCTATAGTGTTCTAAAATATTTTGCCGCGTTTGATCTCAATTTTCAAATCTACGGGATTTAAACATAACATTTGAGTTATTCATTCCTGAAAAATGACCGTGAATGGAAATATATTGTCATATGGTAGAATTACTGTTAAATTAAATCATGTTTTGTTTCTCTACAGTATCTTCCATTTTATAGCTTACTTATTAATAATCGGGTGAAAATTTAATGATAAAATAATTAAAACGGCATCAAAGTATTTCAAACAAGGAAAGTGCAGTACGACAAATGTTTTACTTGAACAAATTTTCCCGTAAATAATCACTCAGACATCTTCAATAGAAATCTATATTTGGAAATGATTCATCGCTGATCTATCATTTAAAAAGCAGCACCGCGGAGCTATCACTTTACCCGCTACATCACAGAGCTATCAGTTTAACAGCCTCCTTGTGCCGGCAAAGAGCCAGCACGATTCAATACTGCGCATACAATTATTCAGCTGTCATAATCTGCATAATCCCTGGTCTGTGAGCCGCACCAAGCCTAATATTCATGATCAATTTTGAGATGAAAAGCTGGCTGAGTAATGGGTGCTATGAATACATTCTGTGCATCACTCCTCTCATATCCAACGGAATTCTGTGCCCTAAGCGACGAATAATTTCAGCAAAGACCATCTAAGATGCTTGCTACGTTGATGGTCATTTGCGATCTGGAATAGCGGCGATTTGATGTCGAGACGCACATAAATTTACTATGTGTTTGCACATATATTTAGGCAATCCTCATTTGCTTAAACAGTTCATAAATATCGATCTTGGATTATCAAATATAACAACTGATATTTTCTAGGCCGTGTATTCAATACCATCTTTGAAAATTCACGCTTTAATAATCGAAGGTTTTCTGACAACCTGACAAGTTTTATCTCAAAGTCGATGGAGGCTCACTGTTACCTCATGACATGTTGTGTCGCGAGTCTCTATGGACTATCCTGCACGGAGAAATCTTGACTCCGCATGCCAGGTAATATCAAGAAATATTTTGCTCGCACTGACAATCAGCTCTGACGTAACGTGAAAATGTCCAGCTGTATTGCATGCGATTTGATTTCCTATTCAATTATTTGAACAAAACCTGTCATAAACAAGGCTAATTAACGAAATTCGATGTCATGACCTTTGTAATTTGACGCTAACAAGCTTGGTACGGCAATGTTCAGCAGAGCTGTAGGTAAATTGTTGGATTTGCTTTAGCTTTAAATGAATTTTTGAGAACATCAAATAGATCCTCGAGCATTTCTCTCGTAGGGCTCAAGTTTACAACAAATGTCCCTGTGATGGTGTTGAGATTATAATAAAAGTGACTCATGATTACAAATGAATGTATTAATGTATATCACATTGATATCAAATGTATCATTGATCATTGGTATCAAATGTATCAATAAATGTGTCATGATTACGAACAAACGCTACAAAAAAAATTAGAAGTACGCATGATTACAACAAAATGTAGCAAGACGCATACTAGCGGCACGACAAAAAAAAATATTTTTGTTTCAGGTACCATCGTTCCCTGCCCATTTGTAGAGCGTTCTAGTTTTAATCTTATGCCCCATGTTTTATTATTTCCGTGCTGTCATGCTGTGGAAAGTGACCAGACTGATGACGTGATTATTGCCTCTGCACGTGATTAACTGGTCACTATTATTTCGACTTGAAAGAAATCGCTGATCAAGTTGTCGTCACGCACCCACTCCCGCCCCCTCCTCGGGCACGACTGACGACTTCTTTTTTGTTTCAGAGCTGCCACAACACCAACAGAACCGGCACATATCAAGGTGAGATCAAACTTTTATATCAAATTGAGCTCAAACTTTTATATTAATGAGTTCAAACTTTTTGTGAGCTCAAACTTTATATCAAGGTGAGCTCAGACTTTTATATCAAGGTGAGCTCAAACTTTTATATCAAGGTGAGCTCAAACTTTTATATCAAAGTGAGCTCAAACAATATCACTTGTAAGAAATATTTCTGAATTCTATCAACATAAATTTATGAAAATTTAATTAATGTACTTATATGAGGAAGGTAATAACTGTAAGACCTTGCATGATATATATTTCATTGTCATTTCACATACGGGACATAATGTCTTTTTTGAAAAGCTTAACCATTTTTCTTGGCCAATTATAACGGAACTAATGTGCTCATTTAGCTCTTTCTAAATTTTGTTTTAGTATATGACACATCGAGAAATCCCACGATAAGAACGGAACAAGATTTAAAGTAATGTTCACATGAGTAGTTTATGAACTAATTTAAAAGATAAGATTGCAAAGCAAATAATTACTCCAACTTTTTCGTCAAGATTGATCTGATTGATTTTCTTCCCAGTTATACTTAGAATCTATTTCATAAATGTCTCTCTCTAAAACATAAACAATCTCTAGTGAAAAAAAAATAATGAACTTGGATGTATTACCCGATAATTTTTAATCTCATAAAAACAATCATTGATCATCTGAATCAAATCTACAGAACCTATTCCAGCACTCTATCCACCAAATGTTATATTATTCCTCCAATCTATTCACCAAATTCTTTGTAATTCCTCCAATCTATCCTACGAACTTCGTATAATTCCAGCACTCCATCCAGCGAACTACACCGAACCTCTATCCATCTTTTAAGATCGCGCTGAATAAATTATCGTAGATTAACTGCAGTGTACCTGATCGAGCAGTGATACCTAGGAAAGTATATAATAGAAAGCATGCCAGGAGTCAGGTTGAAGTGATTTCATAGTTCCAACAAATTCCTCAAAAGATGAATATTTTAACTCGTACGCAGTTGGATATATATTAACTAGAATCTTCACTTATCTTACGGCTCACAAACGACAAAAAACAAGCCATTCATTTAATTTATTCAATTAAAGTGGTTTCTGGAATTTCGGCACCTGAATTTGAAAAGATAAAATCGAGATCTGCAAACTGATGCTGACTTCGATTTGTTATTCTTGCCTAGAAGCTTTAAGGCCTCTTAAAGAATTTTTTTAATATATCAATTGTTTAGTAAAATGAGGAAAAAAAGCAACATAGTACTGATTTCATGAATTCGCTTCAAAGCAGCTTCCAAAATCCGTCAAGAGCAGCTTCCGACAAGACTTCAGATTTTTTCACGATCTTTCGCTATTTAAACGAAAATTGATTTAAATTCGACGAGAAGCAAGACGGCATAGCCGAAACTAGACTACCACGGAAAGCCCATCTGTTGCCCACGCAGTCATCAACTAATGACTGGCAAAGATTGCGTTCTTGTATAAGAGCTGGGGGTGGCAGAATGATACCGTCTCATCCATCATCGAATAATGGATGCTGATAATCGTGTTCGAATAACGAATAGGAATAATGCGCTGGCTCGATATCGTTCATTTTGGACCACCGCTGCTACGTCGTAGGTGAATATTGTTGAATTATAGATGGTTTCTCAATGGCCGACAGTTGGCCGCCGATGATAACGCTATCATTCTCAGTTGTGTTCATCTGCTTCTGCATGCCATTATCATTCCAAGAGGCGCTCCAGGCTCTTCCTCCGATGCGATCTAGAATCCAGGATCTTTGGGCTTTTGTTTTGGAAATTCTCTAAAGCCTTTGACTGCAGTTCCTTTCCATTTCTATTCCTAGTCAGACAGTGGCTGATCTGTCTTAAAGTTGCCTCACCAACACAAATTATCCTTAATTATAAATACTATAATTCTGTGTCAAGGTGATACTTTGGAACAAATATAGGAAAAATATGTTTTTTTTCAGCTGCTGTGCTGGACAACTCGTGAAGTCGACTTCTACCAGCTAATATCTACTTCACTCCGTCTTGAGGCAAGCTCTACTAATATAGAATAAAAATACCCTGAAACCGATAGTTGTCTATAATTTGCCATAGTACATTATTGTACATATCATATTTAATCACAAATTACTATGATACTTGATGTTAGTTATGAAATATATTGTCTTGATCCAAATCCCACAGTTGATTTAAAATTGAGAGAATAGAATTTGTTCAATTTACAAAGCCATCGATTATTTTATTTTCTTAGTTTCACACAAAGTTTTTTCATTGTAGAATAGTGTGCGTACACCAATTCAAGGTGAGTGCGTAGTGCAGAAATTTCAAAGAGAAAAATGTAAGGCTTTCAGTTGAAACCATGTGATATAAAGTATTATTGGTTTTTATAAACATTGGAGCTTGATCATCATCTAAAACCAACTACATCAAATCTCAAGGCTAAGGGGTATTTTTCTATCGCATGCCGACAGGGTTTTAGAGACGGCGTTGAAATTTATGGCACTGCCAAGCCAGGTCAGTTGAGGAGCCGGCCGGCCTAGCCTTTGATGCAATATGTTTGGCTGGGTCATGTATTGTGGAGCAGCCTATGGCTCTCCTGTCACGATTTAGAGCTTAGCTTTAAGTTAGCTCTAAAGATGGACGTTTGGAGAGCGGATTCCAAATAAGGTCCTCATGAAAAAGGCTTTCGAGCCTGAAACAAAGAGACCGTACGGGGCTTTTTGCTGGAGGTAAAATTTTGGCCTGGGTCGGAAGATGATGGATAGTAATCGCATTTTTTCAAAGGGAGAACATATTTGGGGAACAGATGAAAAGGCTTTTTGTCATGAATCATATTTTCTTCAAAACAGAGATCGCTCCGGGGAATATTATGCATTAATTTTACTTCCACTTTAGGCCAAAATTAAATACATCTCCTAGACTGTCTAAATTAATTCTCAAGCGCGCGATCTACATAACTTTGTCATTAAAATATTGCTGAAAGAAGTGAAGACGAAATCATTGCTGCAGTTTAAACGGAAATAGGATCAAATGTTTAGAACTATTTATACGTCTGATAAAAATGCCTCGCGTTCAATCATTTGTCTTGTAACAGCGTTCCGCGTCAAGAAAGTCATGCGTTCAACCTAGCCGTCTGACAAGAAAGTTTAGCATCCAGCCTGGCCTTCTGGCCAGAAAGTCCATCGTTCAGCCACACCGTCGGACAGGAAAGTCCCGCGTTCAGCCTGGCCCTCAGGCAGTAAATTGCCGCGTTCAGCCTAGCCCTCAGGCAGTAAATTGCCGCGTTCAGCCTAGCCCTCAGGCAGTAAATTGCCGCGTTCAGCCTAGCCCTCGATCAGGCAGTAAATTGCCGTGTTCAGCCTAGCCCTCAGGCAGTAAATTGCCGCGTTCAGCGCAGCCGTCTAGCAAGAAAGTCTCGCATTTAGTCTAGTCGTATGGACAAAGATTCTCGCGTCTAGCCTAACCGTCGGGCAAGATAGTGCAGCGTTCAGCTTAGCCGTCTGGCAAGAAAATGCCGCGTTGAGCTTAGCCATCTGGCAAGAAAATGCAGCGTTCAGTCAAGTGGTCTGGCAAGGGAGTCTCGCGTTCAGCTTGAAGTCTTGAGGGCAATCTTTACCATGAGGGGCGGAAGAAGCCGCTTCGATAATGTGCGCAGCTGCAGTATAATGTGTCTCTCTTCGTGAACGTTCTAATCTCCTTAAATAAAGTTAAAGAAAAAGGCACTTTTTCCTCGCAAGCAGTTAGCTCTTTTTACAAAGAAAGAAAAGCTATCTTGAAATTATAGGTAGAAATGCTAGAAAGTTCCGTGATTAAGTATGAAGTTAACATTAATGATTTGGAGTTCTTTGCTTGCAAACGAAAAGAACTGGCACGAAATTTCAAATGAAAGTAAAATATTTTTAACTTGAATGCATGGAATGAAGCTTAGGTTATACGGAAAAATACAATATTTCGTACCGGTTTAGCTGCTCATAAGATTAAAGCACAATATTTAGTACTCGTAACATGGCTTGCTTTGCAATCAATCAATCACTGCGTCGAACAATACACATCACTGGCGCAGATACCGCATCCAAGATGCGACCGTTGGTATTCAAATTGTAGAATTCCCAGGAGCCGGTCAAAGCCGCTAGCTGTATCTCTCCGAGGGGCGGCGGGGCCTCAAATCGGGTTGTTTGTAACTTCCATTGGGGCGGTTTAAACTTGTGCATCAAGTGCGTCGGGAGTCCGGCAATAATTGTTGAACTTCGAGACGGTTTACAGGAGACAGACTAACAAACAAGGCTCGGCTGGAGGCAATACGGCCGGTGGATACCTCGATAGATTGTGTCTACGTACACCGCATAGAAGTTTACAGAGACAAGAAATATAAGTACTCTGGAATTGGACACTTCCATGACTTAGCTGCATTTTTTGGGATGAAATTTGTTATCACTGGAGTAGGTGATAGTTGAAACTTCAAAGATATAAAAGGGGCTTTCATTTAGCAAGAGAAAGGAAAGCTACCGCAGAATAAGTAATAGTGATGGCGTAAACAATTTATTCGTTAAAAGTTTTATAATAACCATAAACAGTGAAACGAATAAATAAAGACTGCCTGATTTACATCGCCTTGAAAACAAGAAATAACCTTGATGTGGATATCAATGGCTGTTATGGCATGCAGCATAATTGCCCTTTATGGCCAGAACATAGCAGCCAAAATAACTATTACGTTGGCATGAACGAAGATGAATTATCACTATCATAAATCATTGGTGCTGTAGCTGCGTGGCTCCAAAGCTTGTAGCATAGCTGTATATATAGTTGCACTGTGTTCAGCAGCAAAATCGACAAACGCGTGGCAATCGCGTTGATGAATTATCCATCCTCGATTCTGAATATAAATGCAATTAATAATTTTACAATAAATAGCTTTCACGCCATTTACTGAATTTTAAAAATAAGATCTAATTTTTCCTTACCAAGCGGATTTGATTTCCTTCTTTTACTTGAATCATATGAGCATTCAAAACTATTCCTCTGGCTGCAATTTTGGGTCGATAAATCAGTTAAATAATTGCGCCGTTTGCCTAAGTAAGGCACCACCAAAACGCCCTTGCGTTCATCTTGATGTCAAAAGAGTCGATGTGACCTGCACTTCAGTGAACCTTATGAAGTAATTAGGCTAATTTGTACGGCCAGCATATTAGCGCATTATAATAGCATAATAAATAGCGAGGCGGGCTCTCAGCGGTCGCACGAAGGTGCCCTTATTTATACCGGACACGCAAAATTCGATGAAGGTTCTTACTTCAAACACTCAACGATAAAAAATTATGGCAGCTTCCAGCCATTATTTTAGTGGATAAATATTATCTTGCGTTGCCGGGTGAAACTAAAAATAGTATAATATTAAATGTTTTTATAAAACCGTTCTAGCATGGATGTCAAAGATATGTATGAGATTTTAACTAAATTTTAATTGTTCCCATTACGTACTCATAAGATTTCCTTTCATAAAATTTTGAATGCATTAATAGATGAAGGATACGTTTTACAACTTATAAACACTAAGCCTTCTATTCTACGGAAATTTCAATTAGGGTACGGAATATTTATTAAAAAGGACAGGTAATTGAAATCGAATTCTGCGAGCGGCTCTAGCGTTCCACGCGTTCTTAGGCATTGCTCCGTGCGTTATCAAGTATTGTTCCACGCGTTTTCGAGCATCATTCCTTGCGTTTTCAAGGATATTTCCACGCGTTTTCATGCATCATTCCACGCGCGTTTCCGATCATCATTCCACGCTCAATTTCGAGCATTATTCCACTCCTTCTCGAGCCTCATTCCACGCGTTTTCGTGCATCAATCCACGCGTTTTCGAGCATCATTCCTCACGTTTTCGAGCATCATTCCACGCGTCTTCGAACATCGTTCCACGCGTTTTCAAGGATCATTCCACGCGTTTTCGAGCATCGTTCCACGCGTTTTCAAGGATCATTCCACGCGTTTTCGAGCATCGTTCCACGCGTTTTCAAGGATCATTCCACGCGTTTTCGAGCATCGTTTCACGCGTTTTCAAGGATCATTCTACGCGTTTTCGAGCATCGTTCCACGCGTTTTCAAGGATCATTCCACGCGTTTTCGAGCATCGTTCCACGCGTTTTCGAGGATCATTCCACGCGTTTTCAAGGATCATTCCACGCGTTTTCGAGTATCATTCCACGCGTTTTCGAGCATCATTCCACGCGTTTTCGAGGATCATTCCACGCGTTTTCGAAGATCATTCCACGCGTTTTCGAGTATCATTCCACGCGTTTTCGAACATCATTCCAGGCGTTTTCGAGCATCATTCCACGAGTTCTCAAGCACCGATGCAGGCAACATGTCTTCGGCAGCGAGAGAAGTTATTTAGATTCAGGCCATTCTTGCCACCACCCAACCATGAAACGAATTCATTAGACTGGTAAATCGGAATCCTCGTCGATCAAATCGTCTCACCGATATCCATCGCAATGAAGGGAAAATATTTAAGAAAAAGGCGATGCTGAGCTTTCATTTGTCGGACCTTACGAACAGGTTTCGTGCGGGGTTGTAAATGAGGGATGAATCGAATCACAAATTAAAATAATAACTATGCATTGATGAAGGAAAACGTTTCTACTCGATCTTTAGCAGTGAGATAAAAATGTGAAGGGAGAAACGGCATCTTCTGAAACAATGTTCTGATTCTGAAAGGAAGTAGGGAATGGATCTTGTCTACGTGCATGAAATTTATCTTTAAAGGAAAAGTAATGTAATTAAAATTTTTTAATCCTAAATTAAAGGATTAATATATATTAATCATTAGAAGTACGATGTCACTTGACCTATGAATTCGATTAACTCCACGGAAAAAATATAATGTGATTTGTATCAATACGTGAAAAATTCCTCATGTATAAATGAATGTTAAATAGGGGTATTATATTTATCCGATAATCGAAATTGATATGAATATTATTATGAAAAGACTTCTGATTAATTCAAATCAAGATTTATCGTC